GCTTGAGACCTCTAGTTCAATACATGCACCTTCATTGACAACAGCATGCATAATTGAAAATGTAAGCCAAAGCCAGAAGGGGAGGAAAACCAACATATGTTAAAACACGATGCTTTTTATGTGAAGGTTTTTCATCTTCATATGATTCAGTAAGGTCAGAGATCATTTGTATGCATCACAGGTAGCACTGAGGGTATGAAAACAAGGTATACAGAAGAGTGGTACAGTACTGAGAGGAGTAGGGGGAGGTGGCTCAGAGCATATGAAGCAGTGCCTTTGCCTTTCATATCCTTTTGTTTTCACAACCCCTCCACTACTCTGAGAGCTCTTTCGTATTTCTCCCCCTCCTCACACATCTCAGCTTCATTCTCAGCATGTTTTTATACTTTCCTCTGCTAGTTTCTTATTATTTTCCTGCACTGCTTACTCTGACTCCAGCTCATTTTGAAGCCCTCATCTGTTCCCTTTAAAGCAGCCGGCTGAGATATTGATAGAGCTCATATATTTCAAAATAAAGACACAGATAAAAGTATTATAAGCTGAGGCAAAAATCCTATGAGGCACTCCTAATTCAAACAAACAAAGTTTAGTGAACGGCCCTGCTCAAAAGGAAGGCTCACTATATCTTTCTCAAAGTCAAATACTTAATAAAAAACTAAATCTACAAATAATTTCACATAAATGAGGCTAATCTTTCACACAAAGTGACAATAATTCATTGCAATCAGAGGAATTCATTTTCTAAGCTCTTGAAATGCTCGTCCTCAGCTCTATCTGCGTGGTTCTTTGTGTGGTTGATGACTGCATGAATGTGGAAAAGCTAAGCAAATTTTTCATTTCACAGTTGATAAAATTAAACGTATCTTATCCTTGGATGTATCATTGACGTGATGACGAAAGAACAAAAGAGTGTGCGAAAGGAAGATGTTAATTTAAAAAGTGGTGATGCATGACGACGTGTTGGGGCGGAACCTGCTCTGGAACCTCCCATGAGCATCATGCACAAACCCTATGAATGACTCTCTCACGCCTTTCATCCCTCTTTCTATTCCCCTGTCTCTGCCTTGTGCTCCATGGCACTAATTGGATGTACATTTCTTTTACTTTTTGAGACAAAGGCAGAAGGAGAGAGTAGGGGATTGAGAGAGAGAGACAAAGAGAGATGATAGGATATAGCACATCTCTCGCTCATTTAATATTCCAGCTAGTTTGAAACAAGAGAATGTTCTTGAGCACAATCCAGTCAGATATTTGCTGCAAGTGTGAACGTCCAAGAGAAAGAAATGAGAAAACTGTGCAATTGTTTACCACCACAAAATTTATAAATAAGAACAAAGCTGAACCGATTGAAAAGACTCTGTTACCTGCTGATTGTGTCTCACTGACTGTAATATTATCATGATGCGTTCAGATTAAGACATGTTTATTAGCAAACTTTCAGCCTCATATGAAACAAGCAGCGTTCAGGTTACAATAAAATGTGAGATAACGTATTATGAGAGGCATTATTTTGCTAATTTTTGATCTTATTATTCAATTGTATTTTCAGTTAGAGACTAATACAATGATATTGTTTTATTAAGTGTTGCTGGTTACAATAACATTTTACCATCACAACAATAGAACTGACTCAAAGTGAAAAGCTGCAGACTTTTTATAAATTTAGGCTTTGAATCTGCTGATGAACAATATTCACCACAATGTCCACAATACAGCAGAGCCAGAAGCCTTCGGGTCATACTGGCCAAAGCAGTCATGGTAGATCTGTTTCATTTGGCTGTAACCTTTAAGGCCCAGACAACAGGTCAGTTCCTGATGTTCAGTTGAGCTGGGAGCGCGATGAGTTGGTTACAACAGTTACACTGACAGCACAGACTGTGTCTGTCTGTGCATGTTCCCCAGTGTGGAGTTTTAGAACTTGAGGATGTTGTTTTAAAAGTTTTTTGTGTGTGTGTGTGTGTGTGTGTCCAATCTTTGGATCCAAAAGAAATGAATGGATCCATCACATGCTGGGCACATGAACACTCTTGTTTTGGTGCAGAAATATTTTCAGCCAATTATTTTGTAGTAATGAAAATATATTCTGAAATAGCATTAATAATTCATTCACCTCATAAATCATGACATATTCTCTCACTTTCATGATAGTATGTTAGCTGCTTTTAACAATAAGAAGTATGGATATCGATATTGATATCGGTAATATTGTCCCTGGTATTACTTCAAAACCAAATTTTGTGGTATCATACTTATCTAGTTGGGACTGTTATATTAATGACTATTGTAAAAATATGAGTCATTCAATTTCAGATGATGAAAATTTTACTTTTCAGCAGAATGTAGCTATTATTCCAAATTATGAACCAAAGTGATGATTCTAAATAAGGTTTTAATACATCAATTTTTGCTTATGGAATAAGAAGTATTTGACAGAAGTAGTTTTAATATTAGTTACATATCTGTTCAAAATATTACTTAAGCTAAATATAAGGATAAAAATGCTTTTATTGTCTTTCCAGAACATGTTGTACATGAAAGGGAACGACACGGTTCAGAAAATAGCAAGAAAACACACAATAAAACACCATTAAACATAAAAAGAAGTACATAAATATATAAATGGGTATAGAGTGAGCAGAGTGTGAGGAATAAGGCTGTGAATATTTAGAAGATAAACAGGATGGCCAAATGGGCCCAAGTTGCAGCAATGCCCTGATATAAAACAATAGCAATCATAGCAGCAAACTGTTCAGTGAGAAGCAGCAGTTGTTCAGTATAACTGCAGAATTTTCTGTCTTACAGTGCAGAATTTATCAGTCTCAAGTTGCAATTCCCTGATATGGAGTAATAATAATAATAGCAGTAATTGTACACTGAGAGGCAGAATCTGTTAGTGTCTCAGCATTCAGGAAGAAGCTGTTCCTCAGCCTGGTGGTTCTGGCCTCGATGCTGCGTACCCTCCTGCCTGAAGGGAGGCAGGCAAACACTCTGCTGGCAGGGTCGGCAGAGTCTCTCATGATGCAGGAGGCCTTTTCCCATATCTGCTGTTGTGAATATCACTGATGGAGGGTAGGCTGCTGCCAATGATCTTCTGTGCAGTCTCTAACACTCCCTGAAGTGCCTGTCTGTCTGCAGCAGAGCAGATACCATACTAAATGGTGATGCAGGAAGTGAGGATGTTCTCCACCACACATCTGTGGAAGGAAATGAGGACTGAAGTGCCAAGGCCAGCATGCTTACACCTCATCAAGAAGTAGAGGTGTTGGTGGACCTTCCTCACTATGCTGGCTGTGTTGATGCTTCAGGTGAGGTTAACCTGAGATGTGCACCCCCAGGTATTTAAAACAGGAGACCACCCCGATGTGGAGGGGAGGGGGGGAGAGTGGTGTTTGTTTTCCTATGTCCACAATCTTTACATTGATATACATCAGGCCTTTGCATCAGGCCTCCAGTTTTTCCGCTTCCTGTCTGTACTCGCATTTATCGCTGTAAGTCTCACCACTGCTCAGATGCCTTGCTGAGCAGCCATAGGTCGGCAGTGTGTACAGCAGGTGGCTCAGGATGCCCCCCTGGGGTAAACCGGTATTGAGGATAATGGGGGAGGATGAGATGTTATGGATTCTAACAGACTGGGGCCTATTTGTTAAAAAGTCCAGTATGCAGTTTCACAAAGATGAGCTCAGTCAAAGTAGTGTCAGTTTGTCTGTCATGGTTTGTGGTATGATAGTGTTAAAGGCGGAACTGAAGTCCAAGAACAGCAGTGTAACATAAGTGTCCTTGCTCTTAAAATGAGTGAGGGCCAGGTGAACCATAGTTGAGCATCTGTGGTGGAGCGGTTCTGTCTGTATGGGGGATCGACTGTGACACTGATGGTCTTCTTCATGTGTGCCGTAACCACCCTGTCAAAGAACTACATGATTATTAGGGAGAGTGCTAATGGGCATTAGTAATTTGGGCACAACACTGTTGAGCTCTTTGGGACAGGGATAATCATTGCAGTCTCGAGCCATGTTGGGATAATTGCCAGGGAAAGTGAGGTGTTAAAGATGTCTGTTAGCACCTCTGAGAGCTGGTGGGCGCAGTTTCTAAAGACCCGGCTTGGGATGTTGTCCAGGCTTGCAGCCGGGTTGACTTGGAGCCAGAAGAGGTGCTGAAAAGAATGAAGGGCATCAGAAAGAGACAGGTCCCTGTGTCATTCTGCATATCTTCTGCTGTAATCTGTGATACTCCTGATGCCCCTCCACATGCTCTAGGGGTCATTGGTGTAGAAGTGACCCTGTATTTTGAGAGCATAGGTAGCTTTGGCCACCCGGTTTCACCTTGTTGCTCTGAGTGCAGATGCGTAACCAGACCTGATGGTGGGCAGGGGATGGTGATTGTTCTAGTCATGGTAACATCATCCGCACAATGCCAAACGATGCACACTCCTCCAGGTCCACATCTTAGTTCTTGTGGCTGCCTCTGAAGATCTGCCAATAAGTACATTCAAAAAGATGATTCTGATCTGCTTGGAGTAGCAGCAACCTGTCAAGTTGAAGCACAGCAAATCTGAACTCAATGTGGCCTACTTAAAGTGTCAAAAGTAGAAGTACTCATTACGCAGAAATGCCTCCATAAACAGTGTGACATTATTATAAAATATTATAGTTTTTTTTTTATCACAAATACATGTCAGAGCATTTTCATGTTATAGTTCTTCATTGTGAAGCCAATTTTATATACTTAATATAGTACTGAGTAGATTAGTAGTTTAGCACTGCAGCATATTATGAAATAAATATCATGAAGCCTAAAAACTTGTTATAAGAGTAGTAGTATGTGTAGTGGAGTAAAACATAGAGTATTTCCCCCTGAAATATAAAGGAGTATTGGGAGTTTAAAGTAGCATAAAATAAAAAAACTCAAGTAAAGTAAAAACATCAGCACATCAACCAATTATAGGGCACTACGTAAATATCAAGCCGCAGACGTTGACGTCATTGCTGTGCGACATGCTGGATGGAAACGACCAAGCTAAATTTTGCCAGCAGCATCTCAGTGTTGCTTTCTTATAAGTGCGTTAGAGAGCCACATTTATTAATTATACGTGTAGATATATATATAAAAAAACCCAACTGTCAGTAGCTTCATGGATGTAGCATCATATTTCTTACTTAAGTGACTAGTCCACAAATCCATCCGGCACAGCTTGTAGCTAACGTAACATCAGTTAGCATCGTAGTTTCTGGTAAACGAATATTTGCTGCTACCAGGGCTTATTTGTGACGACGGTATGAGTTATGGATATGGCGGCGGAAGTGGAAGAAGAGGCAGAAGAGGAGGTCGAGGGCAGAGAGATGGCAGCAGAGAAAGGTGGGACAGAGGAGGGGGTTTCAGAGGACATAGTTCCGACTTTGACCAGGACCGAGGAGGAGGAGGAGGAGGAGGGGGAGGAGGAGGTGGACAACGGGACCGTCCTCCTCCACACCTGAAGGGCCGTGAGATTGGTCTGTGGTACGCAAGAGGAGGAGGAGGAGGAGGGGGAGGAGGAGGTGGACAACGGGACCGTCCTCCTCCACACCTGAAGGGCCGTGAGATTGGTCTGTGGTACGCAAGATACGGGGCCGTGAGGAGGAAACAGGCTGACCGGAGATCGGTATGGACCGGTTTGAGTGCATGTGGTTGCACATTGTGGCGAGCAGGCCATGTTGTCTGCAGATTTTCAGTCTCTTAGCAGTGGTGAAAAGTTACAAAGTTAATTTACTCAAATACTGAATACAATTTTGAGGTAGTACCTTCTAGTACTTACAAAGTACTTTTGATACTTTAAGTACATTTTGCTTTTGTGCTTCTATTTAAATAGGGTTTAAAATGCAGAACTTGTACTTAGTAGAGGATCTAAATAGTTTTCCCACCACTATTAGAAACAGTTATTACCTTCTGCTCGAAAATTGGTCTGTGCTCTTACCTTAAGTATCAGCTGCAGAGCATTGAGCATAGGCTGATTTAATTGGAAAATGGTTCAGAGCACAAAGTCTGGTAAGTGAGCAGCATCCTGCACACAGATGGTAAACCACCCAGATCCTGACGCATCTTACTTTTGATAAATTTAATGCATAGAATGATTGCTCTGCCTTCACTCAACTGCAAAAATAACTATACTTGATGCCAGATGACATCCTGATATTACCTTAGTTTATACTAACTGCAAGGTTAAGGCTTAAGTTCCCCTTTTCATGTCTGTGTGCAGCGGGCAGTGGTCCAGATGGATGAGGCCAGAGAGCAGCACATTACCAAGCTGCTTAACTCTGTCCAGAATGACCAGTCTGGTCCAGAGAGAGACGGCAGGAATGTAAGAGCCTCTACGTCTGACAGCTGGCGGACAGAAACCAATAGAAGTGGTCATTGGTGAGAGCAGCTTGCATAGCTTTTTCTTTTGAGACTTGCACAGCGTAATTTTTATCTTACAATAAAGAAAATTAGAAATCTAGATAGGACTAAAATGCCTGGAGTGTCAGTCATTTTTCCAGCTGTGTCTGCTGACACTGATATGACTCTAACTCTAACATGTTGATAACCCTTGTGTGCAGTTACTTTGATGGGGATAGGCCTGAAGAAGATAAACTGAAGACTGAGATCAAATCTGAGGAAGAGGAGGAAGAAGTTAGTTTAGCAGTCGCTAAAGATGAACCTCCAGACACGTGGGAAGAAGAAGAGCCACAGGAGGAGGAGAAAGAGAAGTTGAGGAGGAAAGACAGAGATCTGGAGTTCTTATTTCAGGAAGTGGTCAGAGATAGTTCACTGGACGACTACTTAAAGAGAGATCTGCAGAGCAAGCAGTCAGATCCGAAGTACAAAGAAATGCTGGTGAGTATCATGATTATTAGTATCAGGTTTGATATATACAGCACAGTGGTAAAAGTTAAGGCTTTGAGGTTAGAAAAAGATGTACATCCAAATGGATATTTTTTTAAGATAATGATATGATCAAAATTGCATTAGTTGTATGGGGTTACTAAAGAAAAGAAGAGTGGAGTATACAGCACAACAGAATTATAACTGTCTGGAGATAATGAAGGGCAGAGAGCTGTGTATTAATAATGAATAAGACATTGCAGTTGGTTTGCAATAATTTGTTGCTGTGTTGGCTACTCTGACATTTACAGGTTGATAGATGTTTATGTTTACAGATGTAAATAGTTTAGTACACAACCCTAACGCAGAATAAGGCTGGGCCTTATGGTAAGTTAGTATCTCTGTAATTATAGTAATATTATCAAATATTGCTTATATATGCAAAATAACATTACATGTTTCATGTCATTTTATTCCATCAAGTGAATTTTGATCAAATTACTGAACTTTTGTCAAGCTATTAGACAGAGTCTGGGTTCCTCTGTGTTTATTAGAATTTTGTCGATGTTTGGATGTGCTTAACCCGTACCCATTATCAAGTTATTAGGACAGAACATCTGCTACTATTGATTTCATGAAGTGTTATCAAATGATTGCTCTTTTTTTTTTTTCGTCAGAAATTCCGGGAAAAACTACCATCTTATAGCAAAAAAGAGGTAAGCTTTTGATTGCATACAGTGTTAAGCAAATACTCTCCTCTTCATCATTAATCACCATTTCTGCTAAAAGTGAATTTGTTTTTTTTTTCTTTTTAATTTGAAAAAAAGGTTTATCTTCTACTATCACCCTTTCCTCCTCCTTATCCCATTATCCATCTCCTTCCTCTCATCTGCTTCCATCCTTCCATCCTCAGGAGTTGGTAGAGCTGATCAACTCTAACCGTGTCCTCGTTGTGAGTGGGGAGACAGGCTGTGGAAAGACCACTCAGGTCACCCAATTCATCCTAGATGACTATATCAATAGAGGCATTGGCTCGATGTGCCGGGTGGTCTGCACGCAGCCTCGTCGCATCAGTGCTATCTCGGTATGTACTCTACTGGTTTTTCAGGTCTGACTGTGTTAGATTATATGTTGCTTTTGCTGCTCTTATAAATTTGTGTGTGTGTGTGTGTGTGTGTGTGTGTGTGTGCGCGCCTGTGTGCCTGTGTGCCTGCCTTCTCTCAGGTAGCGGAACGTGTAGCAGCAGAGAGGGCAGAAAGTGTAGGGAATGGAAATTCTTGTGGTTACCAAATCCGCCTACAGAGGTAAGGAAGTCTTTACAAACATATTTTGATGCATGAATTTGAAGCACAGTACACCAACTTCTCAGATGTTTGTTAGTGATTACAAAAAGGTCTAGTGTTGCTTTCCTGCATGGCTGCTCATTCCAAAGCCATGCTATTAATTTTGATGTGATGGCCTGTAGATTTTCTTGGTCCATGTATGCCCACTGAAGATTATGTTCAGATGATGGTCTTCAGAACAAAAGATGATGTACCGCTAACTGTCTATTATTTTTGCATATACATACATATATTTTGTTTTCAGAGGGAGTTTCTAGATGGATGGGCTAAACTAAGATGGATAAGGGAAATGTATGGGATGAATTAATATCACAGGAAATTAGCTTTTATTTTTGAAGGACAGGAGGTACAAGGATTAGTAGATGGTAATAATGATCTTAGATCACACACACAGGAAGAGATGCACAAAGCTGGTGAGAAAGGAGCTGCACTTGAGCAATATGCAGACCGAGCAAGCGGAGAGTTACAGGGGATGAGAGGGTGCAGCAATCTAAAGTGAATTATATACAATAGAGTATGGAATATGAGAGAGGCTGAGATTGATGCAGTAAGAGGTGAGGAAAAGAGGCAACTCAGGTGTGGTATAAAGGGAGACTGATACAGGAGATGAGAAGTAAAAGGATGGACAGAAAAATGATTACTGACTGTCAAAGAAATGGAACAGATAACAAGGTGCTAGACTGTGAGTTTAAGAGCAGTTTCCACATTTTCTAAATCTTTGGTCTAGCCAATTTAGAAAGGCATCTTTTTGAGCTGTATTCTTACTGCTGTACTGTCACTGCCTGCTGTCACTTTCATTGATGGGAGACCATGGGTGTCTCTCAGTGAGTACATGCATAAACTGGCAATTCGTACCTCGAGCTTTGTTAAAACTTTCATTGATGCACCAGCTCCCCCACTTAGCAACTAATATAAAAAAGTACACACTTCCACACTCTTTACTTTTCTTATGTTGGTCTCTCAGTAGGCAATCAGCTTCTTTAAAACCTGAATACAAATTGGCCAGAACACATTTAATGTAGTATTTGCCAATGACAGTTACATGTGCAGGGAGCCAGTGTATTCGTCTACACAACTCAGTCACTGCAGACAGTCATTGCTTTAAATGTGTTCTCTCTGGTGCTGGTATATTGTGCCAAATGATGGGTGGTTATAATAAACATAAAGTAGGAGACTGTTTAGAGTAAATAAAATTAATCCGACTCTCAGCCTCGAGATTTCAAAACTGTTGTAAAGTGCCAGAGACGATAGAGTGCTTGGATAGAGATCTTTAGAAAACAACACCTTTATAGATCACAGTAGCTCATTTTTATCCCTTCTACCCTGGTTGAATGTCAGAATTGTTTTAGTGATCATTTATAAGTATTGTGCCGAGTAAACGCCTAGCTACACTGTTCTTTGTCTGATTAAGTTGTGATTAATCAAATAACCATACAGCAAATCGTTTGCCAGGTAATATTGCAATATAGAAAAAGCTGCACATATTGCACAGAGAGTGGGAAGCATTGGGAGTTAATAATATTTGCCCTGAGTCCCCTCAGCAATCAATGCAGTCATATTGCCTGGCCCCTAGGAAGCGTTTCCTTTAGAGGCTTCTTTTACTTTTTTAATAAACCTACTAGTTACTAAGTTTATATATTAAAATGGATTACTGTTATTGCTCTATTTTATTATTATTTATAATCTGTATGTTATATTATGTATATGCAGTTGTATCAATGCAATTGGTTATCTGTAATAATTTTATCAGTGAAATCTAATTCGGTTCATTCTATATTTGTTTCACTGCTTTGGATGTTTAACTGTTTTATGTTGTGTGTTGATGTTGTGAAAAACTGAATAATAACCCTGTTTCAAAAAGCGCTTCAAAAAAAAATGAATTTTTTAGTTTTTATTAGTGTTATTTCTCCTGAATTGAGTCCAAGTCCTGTTGGAAATATCACACTTGCATCAATTATGCAGCAAAGCCTTTGATGTGGTTCAATAGTCAGTGCAATTCTTCTTTTAGATGTGTCATAAGAGAGGCAGTTACTGCTTTGTTTGGGATTAAAATAAATGAGAAATTATTTCATGATTGCTATTCATTGGATAAATCTTTCATCACCGACTAATACTTAGTATGATATGATAGTGCCTATTACATTACTTATTAGATAGCATTGTATGTATCAGCAAGGTTTTATAGCAACATCAATCTCAGCTTTATGTGCACTTGTGTGTACAGATGGAGCAGATATTGCTACTATGAAATAATATTTGAATGTTTGAATAAATAATGTTTGGAATTGTGAAAAGAAAGAGAGGGGTGGAAAATATGAAAGACAGTGGAGTCTTGAACAGTAGCTCACACAAATGAAGAAAACTCAACAAAGAAGCTCATCCTGGCAACATTTGTCTTCAGTTTACACTAGTCTTATACCAAGTCTTGTGTCAATTGGGAAATTTAAAATCTTTTTTTTTTCTCTTTTCTTTTTCCTTCTGTGTCTCAGCCGGTTACCACGGAGACAAGGTTCCGTCCTGTACTGTACAACGGGCATTATTCTTCAGTGGCTTCGCTCAGACCCGTGAGTCTTCCACCAGCCCCTGCTTCCTCATCCTCATCACTTCCTGTCCCAGAATTTCTTTCCTCTCAGTGTCTCTGTTCCAGCTGTCCTTCCTCCACTCTTTTATTCCCTGTGTGTCACTCTGTTTTATCCCCATTGATTTGTGGTCGACTCTACTGTCTGTGGAAGAAGCATTAATATGGGTCTCCAGTCTCATAGGCAGAGAAATGAAGACACACACACACACACACGGCTTCTGTTGACTCATCCCTGCATACGCATCCTTGCATTCTGAGTGTCTCCAGAAAAACCACTGAGACTAAGTGAGGGTGCCAGCTTTTCTTGTTGTCTTGCTTTATGCTTTTTCAGAATTGGCACGACTCTAGTGAGTCATTTTAGGACTACAGTTGTCTGACAAAATGCTGCAACTTATTGGCATTCAGGTATATTTGCATAGAAGATGGCTTACAGGCTGACAGTCTGATGGGCTGCTGCTATGTCTGCATGTTTTGTCAGTTTTGGTGTGGCTATTTGTCTCCAGCCACCACATTAGTGATGCATAAATGTTTTCACTCCCACAGACCCTTTTTATCCATCATTACAGACCACAGCTGTACGCCCTCAGGGAATTTGTTCAATTTTGGTTCAAATGTCCACTTGGACTAAAGGATAAACTGATTTGAATTTTGTGGTTAAAAGTCAAGGTCACTGTGACCTCACAAACACACATGTTTTTGGCCATAACTTACGAATTCACACTAATTTTGACACAATTCCACTCAAATGTCTAAAAGGATAAAATGATGAAGTGACATTTTGTATCCAAACGCTCGAAGGTTAACTTCACTGTGACATCATAATGTTCTACAAAAGCATTTCTGACCATTAGTCAATGCTTGAACTCAGGAAGGGACAACTGTGACCATATGTCATGCAACTTGGCTGGTTGGCAGAGGCATACAACTGTGAGTTGGTAATTCTAGTTTTTCCTCCTGTCAGTTTGTTGTCCAGCATCAGTCACCTGGTATTGGACGAGATACACGAGAGGAACCTGCAATCAGATGTTTTGCTGGTTATTGTGAAGGACCTACTCAACCTCCGGGACGATCTCAAGGTCATCCTCATGAGTGCCACACTCAATGCTGAGAAGTTTTCTAAATATTTTGGTACGTAACCTGCCAAATGGCAAACCAAATTTTGTTAAACAGAAATGTTGTTTAATTGGTTTGGATTTTCCTCCTTCTCATCTACCCCTTTCCCCGTGTCAAACTCCCTTTAGACAAGTGTCCAATGATCCATATCCCTGGTTTGACGTTCCCAGTGGAAGAGTTCCTATTGGAGGACATTGTAGAGATGACCAGGTAGAAAAACGCTCCTCCCAAACACAAGCATACAGATACAAAAGGAACCACTATGTCCCTTTTGTCTAATATAAGCCGGTTGGTGTCTCTCTGCCAGGTATCGCCCCCAGAATCAGGACCGTCGCCCCTCATGGAAGAGAGGCTTTTGGCAGGGCCGCCACTCCAGACCTGAGAAGGAGGAGAAAGAGGCTGAATACAAGGACAGCTGGCCTTGTTATGCACGTACACTGCAGCACAGGTGAGGTGGTGAGAATAGCAGAGTAGTTAAATTGCAAGAGCGGTTTTAACTGAAAAAAAAACTCCCTTTAATAACTCCCAGTTCTGCTCGAGATGTCTTCCACTTCTCTGTAACACCGAACAAACATTCTTCTTAATTTAATACAGCTATTTGCAGAGAAGTCCCTTTTCTTTGCCCGCATTATTACTGCTCTGTGTCAGAAAGTGAATGTAAACATGATAACTTCAAGTCCACTGCATCTGTAGAAAGTGTTTTCACACTGCCTGAATGCATAGCACTATGATCTTACTATGTGACAGAGCTACAAAAGCAGTGGGCAGAACTGTAGATCATGTCCTACACTGTATACACCTACACTGCCTTCCTACGCTGCCAAAGTATAATTCAGGCTTAAGGGTTGAGCAAGCAAATTTAAGAAATGTTAGAACTTCATGTTTGTGTAATTTTTTTGTGAACCTGTTCTTGCAACTGCATTTTTTTTTGCTGTTTTTCTGTTTATATAACATTTTCTAAAAACAAAATTCTTGTGTATTGTAATCAGTTCTAATTGCAAGGACCATGATAATCGTACACAGACACAATCTCTCATCTCTGATGAGCTCTTTAATGACCTGTCAATCTCACATTGAAGGCGATGCCCAGGGAGGAGAGTTTCCATATTTGGAAACTTTCATGTCTGTGACAAAATAATTTGCAGCAGTTCAAACCTGAGCTTCAGAGCCAGGAAATAAAGATTACGTATTTAAGAAAAAAACATTACAAAGGAACCAATTAACAGTCACTGATTGTGTTTATGGAAGCTGATGTCAAGATCACCAATACAATTAAAACTGTCAAAACATTTTAGTTGAGTATGAGTCAACACTATTGTTTTTGTGCAAAAAACATATTCAATATCATACAGAATTTGCCATACAGCCATTACACAGCATCTGGAGAAAAACTTCTGTCTGCAAATATATAAATCACATGTAGCCATTACCGAGCTGTGACAGCCAAAGCAACAAGTAATGGAATAGTTGTAAACTTGGGACCAGCTTGTTGTCATGTTGAAGCATGGAAAAAGGTGGTTTATTTATTTATTTATTATTTATGCCTCACATTTTACAGATATTCTGACAACACTATTGCGGCACTGGAGATGTTGGACAATGATGAGAAGATTGACCTGGAGCTGATCCTGGCACTGATCCGTCATATTGTGCTCAATGAGGAGGCAAGTTTAACCTTGGATGTCTGGTTTCAGGCGAGGCAGAATTCTGGTGTCTGAAATTAGATTTTTAATAAAATACTTTTGTATTCAGAGCTGAAAATTGGACTTGAGGTAGCCTGTTATGTGTCTGAGCAGTCTGAAAGCCTGGCGTGCTTGTATTACTGAAACTTGTAGATTTTGAGATTTATGTTTTTAGATTCATAGATCTCCCAACTTTTTGATCATAGACAGGCAGACAGGACAGAAATCCCAGTGGAAGATGGGTTCATATCAAATAAAAGTTAATAACAAAAGGAGAAAAGTACCATATACTCTGAGGTGGAGCAGATAGAAGAACCAAGGAGGACTAGCTTCCAAATACAGAGTGACATTACATCAGATGAAATAACACAGATCCTGGCAGCAGATCTGTGCTAATGAGTGATGGAACAGATGCTCTCCTAGCGCACGTTCATTCCCTTTTTTCTCTTTCCAGTTCTTGTTAAATTTCCTAATTTTTGTCGGTGCCTTTTCAGTGCTCAGTTCAGACTTTGGTAATGTGGACGGAGTATAATGTCAACTAAGACAGATGAAAGAACTTACTTTTTTAGTAGACCCAGTAACACATAACCCTACCATATCCACTTCAAGAGTTGTTAGTTTCCATAAAATTTGGGGAGAATCCATCAATGGAAAGGATTTGAGAAAAAAATCACTATTTCAGTACAATTTTCTGTTCAAATATGTGCTTCTTGTATTTTTCAACTGTTTTTCAACTCATGAGAGACATATGCGAGCAGACATGTGCGAGAACACACTGGCACAATGGAGCAGAATATCACAGAATACAGCCTATTGTTGCTTTTAAGAGGAGAATAATGAGGGTGAGGAAAACTTGCTCTCACTTGTCCTGCCATTTTTCCAGGTGAATTGGAGCTAGTTTAATGTATTTATGTTAGTTTATTGCTGTGTCTGTGAAAAATGTATACGAGAGAGGAACAGAACAAAGAGACAGACCTAGAATGAGGAGTGACTAACACAGATAGACAGAATAATTATCCTTTCCCACATGAGGCTTTATCTCTATCAGTCACAGCCACCCTGAGCCAGTCGACAAGCTGATTTGCCGTGGCATTGTCAAATGGCTCAGAGGGAACTGGCTGATCTGCCGTGACGTCGTCCTGTGCCGAGGTTAGGGGGCGGTCTGCCAGGTTTTCAACTGTGGTGATTGGTTAATTATGTTTGAGGGGTCTGTGATTAGACACCTTGGGGGTTGACATGGAGGCAGTAATGAACGCCTGCTGGGTGCAACTATGTGAACGCACGTATGTGACTGGTTTGGTGTGTGTACATGCTAAGTAGTAGGCCAACATGACAGAGCTTACTGTGCTGTTACTTGATTTTTAGTTGGAATTAATCAGAGCCTCTGTCTGTACCCTATGCGTGTGAACATGTGTTTCTATCAGGTTGTAACTAGGCACACTGCCTGCACCTCTCTGCTCGTCCTCGCTCTTTCACACACACATGCACACACGCACACGCACACGCACATACATTAACACGCACATATACAGTCCCACGTGGGTGCCAGTGGTTGAGCACTGGTAATAATAATTAGCTTTAATTAAAAGGCAGGGGCACTCAGGGCCCAGGAGCTACTTTTAATGTCTTTCCTCATCTCCTCTCAGGAAATGAAAAGCAGAGTCCTTTTTAAAGACTGGGTTATTTTGTACCAGCCTAATATTATCCTGAGAATCATTTTCCTTTAAGTTTCGGTCTTTGATGTGATGTAGCATAATAGTATTTCCTGAAACTTTTCCCCATTGATGATAATCTAAAAATTGGATTTTTCTCAGGTTCCAGAAGTTTAGAGCTTTTTAAGCTATTATTAGCCTTTATATCCGTATGTATGCTGTAAAAAAACAAAAACATCATGCTGACCGTTTCATTATGGTGCATACAGCATTTAGAAGCTGCTCTGGCCTACCTCGTATAATCTGATCTCCATGTGTATGTCATAAACATCATGTTTGTGGCAAAGATTGCTCACATATTTCTAATCATCTTTGAGGACACCCTGTTGCTTCTGTTTATAACTCTGATTGTCTGAGTAGTTTATATTTCTAGAGCAGGGTATCAAACCTTTTACTACTGCACCATCACTGTATGTGATGTTTTTATGGCTGCGGGTCTGACACCGACTGTACGTTAAGTGGTCATCTATAGTCAGACAGCAGAATGTTCAGAGATTTGCTCACACTGGAGCACCACCAACTCTATTAGCCACCATCATCCGTTATCCTGCTGATGTTTTCTGCATGATGTTTTCAGCTTGCATTTGTGTGTCTTTATTTCCCAGGTGACTGATTGGTTTTCTTTTTTGTTGCTGCTTTGAGAGAATCAAGTCTGTCCCTGTGGTAATGTGAGGTAGAGGATGCCCTGTAGTGGAAAGATGTTGTTGTCATAATGATGTTGGCAGTGAGTACCAGGGACTATTGTGTGGCTGACTGTGGTGGTTGGGAGCTCAGGGCAAGTCATCTCCATCTGCCTCGGCTCGGCTCCTCCGGGGACAGGGGCACCTTGTTCACTTTGTTCATTTGTTTCTGAGGCTCCTTCAGCTGATGGCTGTTGGTATCTGTTTGTTTCCTGCTTGTTTTCTTTTTCTATCAAAGCCCAGCTGGTTTTTTGTGTGACTTTCAGTTTCTAAGTGTTGTGTGATGTCTTTGTCTGACAGGAAGGAGCAATCCTGGTGTTCCTCCCTGGCTGGGACAACATCAGCAGTCTCAATGACCTGCTCACAGCTCAGCAGATGTTCCGATCAGGTACACACACACACACACAGTTACACACACCTACAGAGTATGTGACGTGGATACAAGTGTATGTATTTGCCATATATGTCAGTAAATTGAGCATTTTCAGGTTTTGGATTGCTGGTCTATCCAAACAAGTAAACTGAATTGTTTTTTCACATAATCAATAAATGGAGAAAATACTTAACAGACTAATCAATACGAAAAAGATCATCTGCAGACCAAGATTAATCAGTTAGTTGATGATGATGATGATGATGATGATTCATGAAATGTATTGTTTTACAAAATTGTGATGGGTGTTTTCACTGTTGTCTCACATTTTATTTACCTAGCAAATAATTGATTAATCAAGAAAATATTCTGCGGATTAATTGATAATGAAAATATTTGTTTGTTGCAGCCCTAGAAGTGTGATGTGGAAACTTGGAACCTCCAGTGCACATACACTGACCCAAGAGTGAAGTAGGAGAGCTCTTGAAATGAACAAATTTACATTCATAGAATCTGGACTTTTGATGAGGGAGGAGGGGGTATATGTAATATGTAGAAACTGCAAAAAAGAGACAAAGCAAGCATAAATTATTATTCCAATTCCAATATTTTTATATATCTGGAAACTGCAGGGCATCTTTAGATTTATTGAATTTTTTTTTTTTTTTTGAATCATAAGTGTTTGGTTTGAGGTGAGTTCAGCCTTAGCCCACGCACACACTTCTAGGGCTCTTTGATTTAACAACAGCCATGATTATGAGATTGCCACCCACAATTATTTAGACTTGATTAGGGGCAATTCTGATGCTTTTGCCGTTGCTGATTGGAGTGATTGCTCTGGTGTATCAAATCATAAACATAGGTGAACTCTGACCAATCACAGCCATTTTATTGTAGCACATTTTGATTAACTGATCTCTGATTTCTAAATTGTAGGCAACCTTCACATGTAATGTAACTGCATTTTCTAAGTAGAGATGCAGTAAATGTGTTTTATTTTATTTACTGAGTATGTCATGATTATTTTTTATTTTTAGGTAAGTACTATGTCAAAGTGAAGTATTAAATAACTACATAATAATATTTATTTCCAAAGAGGAATAAATAATGGTGGTAAATTAATGTATTCTCAACATTCACCAGGATATTCATGGTTACATTTTTAGACACACACTAGCACGTATCTGGTGTTTGCAAATGATGCTTTGTTTGAGTTGTTCTTCTGTGTCCTGCTGTATTTCAGAGCGGTTCGTTATCATCCCTTTGCACTCCCTCATGCCTACCGTTAATCAGACGCAGGTCAGTATTCTTCTGTTACTCTTTTTGTCTGTCGCTCTGACTGTCTGTCCATGTCAGTTGTCATGCTTTATTCTGTTTCTCAATGTCTGAAAAGTCCAATTTCATCTTTCTCCCTCATTCATCTCAGGTGTTCAAAAGGCCTCCTCCTGGAGTTAGAAAGATTGTGATTGCTACCAATATAGCTGAGACCAGGTAAGTGTGAGCGTGTCTGTGTGTGTTGTTTGGCTCATCCAGCCTTTGTACTTTTAGGGCCTGATTTACTAAGATCCCAAATAAAGAGCGCTAAATTGCGTGCGCACACGGATAGATTGCGCGCGCTGCCTGTTTGGGGTTTGCGGGTGATTTACTTAGATTAACAGCGCAATTGACTACAGGTGCAAAAGTGATTGAGCCCACCCTATTTAAATGAGGACTTTGCGCGAGTTAAGGGTATTCACCGTGGCGAATGCAAGCGAGCAGACCCAACGGAAGCGCAAAAGCAAATTTGAAGCCACGGAATTGGAGGTGCTGGTACAAACAAGCACATTTCTGAGTTTCATAGCAGGCACTGCATGACTCCTCCTTGTGACTGGATCCAAATCAGCTCCTACTTCACGGAGAAGCTCCAAAATGGCATCGCCGGATAACCGATATGTCTCGATTATTTCTTCTTCTGCCATTCCAAAAAGAGTGACACGAACAGAAAAGATGCGTTCTCTCCGTTGCCTGTCGTGCCTACGCCGCCTCCTTGCAACAATGACCACAGCCATCTGTGCGCACAGCTGTGCCAGGTAACCTAAGACTTGACTTTCAAACGTGCTAAATATAGACGCAAAAATAATCAGCGCAATTAGTTTCAGGTTTGGTAAATCACATTGCGTGCGCAAAATGATTCTATTTGCATCTACTCCTCCCGATATTTTGCGCGTTCTGGCAGGCACGCCTATATTGCATATTCATGAAGGCAGAAACGCAAAATGGATAGCGCGTGTTATTTTGCCCGACTGACAGACGCAATCCTCGGTGCGCCCGGTTGGTAGATCAGCATCAGCATGTGTTTGCGCGTGCTGTCGCGTTTGCGCACGTGTTTACGCACGCAAAGCTTTAGTAAATCAGGCCCTGAGTCTCTGACAGGCAATTTTTTAATGCATTCACACGAGCCTCACACTCACACACACTGAGCAAATTAAGAAGCCGTCTGCACTCCCCTCACATCCCTCCACTAAATATAGAATCTAAACCTACCAAAGGGCTAAAATTTTATTTGTGTGTGTGTGTGTGTGTGTGTGTGTGTGTGTGTGTGTGTGTGTGTGTGTGGTGTGTGTGTGTGTGTTGTGTGTGTGTGTGTGTGTGGTGTGTGTGGTGTGTGTGTGTTGTGTGTGTGTGTGTGTTGTGTGTTGTGTGTGTGTGTGTGTGTGTGTGTGTGTGTGTGTGTTTGGGTCGTTGTGTGAGTGAGCTAAGCATCTTGACTTGCTTTTGAAGTTTTTTTTTTTTTTTTTTTTTTTTTCTTTTCTTGTTTGGTCTTTATTCCCTTACCTTTTTTCTTTTTCTCTCCACTTTTCCTCACAGCATCACCATAGATGATGTTGTATATGTGATAGATGGTGGGAAAATTAAGGAGACCAACTTTGACACCAACAACAACATCAGCACTATGACAGCCGAGTGGGTCAGCCTGGCCAACGCCAAACAGAGGAAAGGACGTGCCGGCAGGTGTGTCTGTGTTAGTTTGCACACAGGGGGTTTTGCAGATATTTTTATAATGAGGGCATGCTGCATATTACTGCCTCTGGGTATGTGATACTAATCTGGGAGGATTATTTTTTCCTTCTATTTGTCATCTCAGCTCTCCGGCAGTCTTCCCCATCAGCCCACTCCCTCCTCCCTTCCCATCTGTAAACACGGAGAAAGGCTGAGTGTAGTCACTCCCAGGTTGTTTCCAGTCTGTGACTCGAGACGTTTGTTCCGTTAGCTAGCTCTGACATCAAAGACGAGCAAGGCCCAATTATTAGGAGCTGCTTACTGTGTGCAGTTTCATCCCATTGATTTTTAATTAAGCCCTTGTCACAGAACTGATATTACACATTTTTTTCTCTCACAACTCTCCTCTTCTCTGCTTATCTCCAGGGTGTGTCCAGGGAAATGCTATCATCTGTACAATGGTTTGAGGGCCAGCCTGCTGGATGCCTATCAATTACCCGAAATTATGAGGACACCACTGGAGGAGCTCTGCCTGCAGATCAAGGTTGTGTATGTGAAAAGAAAGAGTGAGACAGACTGACAGAAAGATACAAATAGGTTTCGGCTTGGGAGTTGAGATGAGGACAACATTGCTGTGAATGAGTTTTGTGAGTGCAGAGAGGGGATGAGGACAGTGCTGCTGTTTTGGTCTTCCATTGAATTACAGCCTATCCTGCCTAATGAGAACAAGGGATGAACACCCTGGCTGACTCATGGCCCTTGCTCTCCAGCACTTTCTCTCTCTCTTTGCAGACAGCATAAACTCTCCTCCTCTGAGCCTTATTCTCTTACATGAACACTCGCTTTCTTCTTTGGTTGTTGACTCTTTTTTTTTTTTTTTTTTCCTCCTATTTTTGCTTTCTCTTTTTAAATCCTCGTACTCCACTCAGACATATTTCAATGGAATGCTAATGGAACATGAAGCCAAAGTTCACTCAGATCTAGTGTTTGCAGTGATTGTTCTCATCAGTGGCTTTATTGGATATGCATTTGAGTGTGTGTCTTCCACTAGTTCAGTTGGATGTATTTGAGTATGTGTGTAATGTGGTTTTTGAAGCTAGTGGGTGAGAGGCGGACTAATGCATTAGACTGTCCTTAAAGTGAGAGAAAAACTGACAACATGCTAACCCTGAGCAGACTCTCAAAAGCATAAACACTCCAACACCAGTCTATTAGTCAGACATAGAAGTGTGTTCCCTTCCTTACCCTTCATTTTGCTACAGGTTTAGTGCATTTAAAAATCACTTTTTGATGTGGAAGAGAACACACATTTAGAGAATGTAGACATGCACAGAATCAGGTCTTAGTTCATTTGTTCTGTGCTCAGCCCAGAACTTGCAGAAGAATGTCAGTGTGGTTAACGCTACACAGTGTTGGTTGTTTTGTCACATATATCTTGTAAACAGCAAAATGGCCAAACCATGTCTCATACAGTACAGTACGCTTGTTGGAAGAAAACATGCACAAAGTTAATTGCAGTAGACCTTGCTATATCTATGTATTGCTAACAATTCAAATGTTTGCCAGAAATGGATACTAATTCCCTTTCCTTTTCTAAGGGGCTTGTTTCCTCAGAAAAAGATCATGACATGCTTTTGTGATGTTTGCTGCATAGATACTGAAGCTTGGGTCTATAGCTCAATTCCTGGAGAAAGCCCTGGACCCTCCCACTGAAAAGGCCGTCAATCTAGCCATCAAGAACCTCATAGACCTGGTAAGAAAGAATTAAGATTATTCAAAACATTTTAAACATAGGTTAGGATCAAATGAGGAACAACTATTATTTATAAGGCTGCAAGTTATTTTCATGGTGAAATAGTCTGTTGATTACTTGAAACCCAAGTTAATGTCTTCAAATAACCTGTTTTGTCCAATTAATAGTCCAAAACTTAAAAATGATCAATTTTTAAGTTTAGACAATTGATTGGACAAATCACTAGTCTGTCAACTGATTAATTGATTATTAATTTTGTGCTGATTCCAAATTCATTAATTGACCAATTGTTTCAGCTTTTACAAAATGTTTTTAACAAAAACCTATAATGTGAGCGATAAAAGCACGATAGCTATTTGGAAAATAGTAGCAGACTACCCCTTGACCTGAGCTTGTGGTTTCAAGGACTCCTGTCAAGAAGCATTATCTACAAATCTGCTAGTTCCAAGGATGTTATTTGGTAGCTTACCCTCTTGTAGAGGAGGGAGTGGAAGAAAAAATACACCTAGGAGCAGCAGAGAAATCAGTGCTTATTATATGGGCTCAGAGAATAAAATATGAGTAATATTTCATGCTAACAAGGTTAAAAAATTGTAAAATCAGGAAGCAGTACTTTGACAGGAACAAAACTCAGCGGTTGCTCCTGAAAGCTTTCAGATGACTTAATTAGCATGACAACTCGGCAACACCAACACACACTGACTGTAAACTGGTCTACTGGGAGATTGTTGCCTTTATTAACCTGTTGCTATTTTAATAAAGGCTTTTTAGTATATTCCACTTTAACAAAGCAGTGCCTTTTGAATATTGGGATATCTATTCCCTTTCTTATGGTTATGTTTAGACTACTGTTTAGCTGAAGATGACTAAATGTGTGCATTTTGTTTGGTTTTTTTGTCGCACTGTTGCGTGTTAGAATGCCCTGGACCATTCAGAGAATCTGACAGCGCTGGGTTTCCACCTGGCTCGTCTGCCTGTGGAGCCTCACATTGGCAAACTCATCCTGTTTGGAGCTCTGTTGGGCTGCCTCGACCCCGTACTCACCATTGCTGCTTCACTCAGCTTCAAAGACCCTTTCTTCATACCCCTGGTAGAGCATCGAGTTGACAGACATGAAAGCTTTTGTTGGCAGCAACACACACACACTGCAACACATTGCTGCACCCTAACTTCTGACTTTTTTCATTGCAAAGTAGGTCTTTAAAGAATTTGTCTTTAATATATCTGTCTCTCTCTCAGGGTAAAGAGAAGATGGCAGACATGAGGAGAAAGGCCTTGTCCAGGAACTCCAAGAGTGACCACCTCACTATTGTCAATGCCTTCCAGGTAAAAGAACTCACAGCTGTCAATTTTATTTCATGTCTGTCTTCTGTATGAACGGATCTTGTCTTGATTTATTATCCATTGATTGGCCAGGGGTGGGAGGAAGCGAAAAGGCGTGGTGCCAGGTACGAGAGGGAGTACTGCTGGGACAACTTCCTGTCTGCCAATACTCTCCAGGTGAGCCAGACTGATTATGAGTGTTATGCAGAGCTCTACACTGAATTGCTTTGAAAATAAAACCAAGGGTAGTCCATTATTACATTTTGAGTTTGACTTCTGTCCGGACAGTTAAAGACAGGCAGCCTTTTTAGAATTAATTTATCCTTTTATCATTCAGATGCTGCACAACATGAAGGGTCAGTTTGCTGAGCATCTAATGCATGCAGGCTTTGTCAGCAGCAAGGACCCCAGAGACCCCAACTCTAATGTCAATTCAGGTAACTAAGCGATTCAGCGGTCAGAAAACATTCATTCTTATGAATCTTAAAACCAGGCTGTGGAGTAATAATGACAAAAGATATGTGACATGTAAATGTAGCAGTGCTCTATTGTTCTTTCTCTAACTCTCACTTCCTTCCTCAGACAATGAGAAGTTAATCAAAGCAGTGATTGTAGCCGGTCTGTACCCTAAGGTGGCCATGATCAGACCATCTCACAGCAAAAAGAGGCCGGGGTGAGTCTGTCAATTCAAAGAGGGAGATGAGCAATGACAGACAGGAAAGGGCTGCACAGCACAAGATAGAGAAGTGCGCAATCATTCCTATTGATCTGTAGGGAGAAAAAATGGGCTTCACGCTGCAATATCTCAACAGACCTCTCAGTTAATAGTTCTATAAAGGTCCTGTGACAATCACCTGAGGCTGTGCAGAGAACGTGTAAGGAAAACTCTTAAAAACAGGCGCGTTTGCAGCTAAAGATCAATACAGTCATCATAAAACTGCCCTCAGGCAGCTGTCATGGGCAACGGCTGTGACCTGTGTTCAAAAGACAGACGCACTCAAGAAGGAGACAGACACACTGTCTCACAGTAGGGCTGTCAGTTGTGTTTGTCTGTCTTGGTGACAGCTTTAGATCCCATGATATTGTCATTTCCTCTGCATAAGTAAGTTTTCACATGTCCGCACCACAACTCTGAAATATTTCATGAATTCATTGCTCAATGAAGCACTTGTTGTTTTTTTGTTTTTTTTTGCTGCTAAATCAGACTACTGTCTGGTACAAGCAGCTTGTTGCCTGCAGCCAAGCAGTCGGCTTTGTCTGGCTGACATGCAGGAGTTTGGAACACAGCTTTACTTTCACGTTAGAGATTATTTGCCAACTGCAGCACAGTTTCTCATTGGTACCCCTTTGTGCCAAAATGGCAGGAGATTCTTTGTGCGTCATATTAACAAGCCAAAGGTAACTGAAGGGATGTCCCTGGAACTACTTTCTGGTTCATTTAAAAAAAAATAAATAAATAAATAAATATTCTGGTAATGGTGCATTTTAACACACTTTGGGCAACAATGTGTGCACACAGACACAAGTAATAGGCGTGTACAAAATCTTAGTATTTCATATTGCTGGACTTACAATGGACAGTTAAAAAATTGTCAAAATGAATGCAGCACTAACAAAATTATGCTTGACTGTGTGTGTGGTGAGGTGTGTTGTGCTAATAATGTAATGTAGCCACTAACCACTAGCCTCAAAAAGAGACGAGGAGCAGGCTACAGATGTCTGGTGAGATCACTTCTGTCTAAATCCACAATCCAGATTTTGTTTTTCATTTTCAAACTTGTAGTCCTCAGCCCCAACTGTCGCTGACTCAAATGACATCACTTGAGGCAATTCAGCGGCCTTAGAGTAGCTCCCTCTGGAGCCACAAAAGGCCTCATACAAGCTTAATGATGGTAATAAAAAGCTATAATGTTTTTGTTAGCCATTTGACTCTTGACAGTACACTTACCCCCAACACCAACTCACCAAACTCTAACATTGTATTTTGCGCAGGGTTAAGGTGTACACCCAGGCTGATGGAAAGGTGTGTATCCACCCGAAATCTGTCAATGCCGAAGAGACGGAGTTCAACTACACCTGGCTCATCTATCACCTCAAGATGAGAACGAGCAGTGTGAGTAGGCGAAGGGGACATGGGAACGCTTTATGCTGTGTTTTAAACACTGTATGATTGTTGTGTGTTGCTGTGTGTCTTCTTGATTATGTATGTGTTCCCCTGAAGGGTGCATGTGAGTGGAAAGAAGGACCAGCGGTTAAAGGTTATCAGTGGTGCTACGCCAGCTTTACACTGAATGAATATTTGATTAAAACGCTGCCTTTCAACTCTCTCTCAAAGGCTCTTGTGCTTCAAAGCTTCCAGACACAATGTAAGATGTGGTGGTGGTGGTGGGCAAAACGGTCAATGTGGCTCGCTGACTACCGCCCTCACTCCTGTCCCCTTTTTCTGTCTTTTTTTTCTTTTCTTTTTTTTTTTTTTTTTTGACGCTCTTCACGCTCCCATTTTCCTATCCCTTCCATCTATCTGTCTTTGTTCTTACTGTGCTGTCTGTCTTTGTGAATGTTACTCTTCTGCAGAAAAACACCTTTCATGTCCTCTCTGATTGCTGCCTGTGCTTTTGTCTCTCACTTTGCTGCTTTCGTCTTTATGAAGAAAAGTGTTTTGCTGGATTTCACCATCATTATTGCCACCATAAATGTTTTTTTTCCTTCTAATCCATAAGTGGTTTTGTGCACAAGGCACTGCATTTGTGTCTATAATAAAAGTAAGGTATTCTGAGAGTGCCACGTAGTCAAGGTCATTTGTTTACTGAGAAAGAGAAGGAAGCAGTAGACCAGCACTGTAGAAAGAAGGCAAAAAAGTGAGGTATGACGTTAAACTTTATATCCTCTGACGCACTTGCCCCTGCTGGTCCAATACATTACACATTCATGGGACAAATGCAGTTGTCCCTGCTCTCTAATTGCTTATTTTTTTCACCTTGTCTCCTACCCACTCCCTGCACCTTCCTTTACCTCTCTCTGACACTAATTTTCAACACTTTCGCCTGTTACCTTCAAAGCTGTAATAGGTTTTGTTTGACCTCAGTCGGTTGCTTCTCTAGTCTCTGTAGCTTCTGACCTTAAAGCTTCGCAGTTTCTGAGTGTGTGCATACAGATCAGACCATTGCATGGAGTATCACTTCTCTTTTCTGTCAGCAGTATTCAGAGTTTTCTGTAGTTTGTGGAAAATATTTATTTACTTTGACTTTTGATATACAAAATGAAAAATGGCAGTTTTCCTAAATGAATGCCAAACTATTCTACAGCTGTCAGTTTAGCACAGGGAAGAAAATAGATGGAAAAGAGTGTAACACATTAGCGATATTCACAGATGGGGCAAGATGACATTTCTCCGAACACTGGAGGCACTGAAACACATTTTGAACTCACACAGCCACTCTTCACTAATGGGACACTTTCAGCCCACACCACAGAATAGCTGCTGGGCACGGTGTGTTATAATGATGCTGCTCTCTGTCACGGAGTGTGTTAGCGTGTTTGTCGTAATACTCTTGTTGTTGTGTGTTGGCGACATCACTCTGTGTGCCCTCAGATCTTCCTGTACGACTGCACTGAAGTGTCCCCGTTCTCGCTGCTGTTTTTCGGAGGAGACATCACCATCCAGAAAGACGAGGACCAGGAGACCATCGCAGTGGACAAATGGATTGTCTTCAGATCCCCGGCACGCATCGCTCACCTTGTCAAGGTAAGCGAAAGACGCACTCACACAAACTAATCTCAGTCGTGATGAAATGAACTTACTAACTTCTACTTTTTCCACAGAGTTTAAAGAAAGAGCTGGATTCTCTACTGGAGGATAAAATCCGTAACCCGGCTCCTGTGGACTGGCAAAACCGTCAGTCCAAAGACTGTGCTGTCATCACAGCCATCATAGATCTCATCACCACCCAGGAGAAGCCTGCAGGCAGCACTAAAGGCTATGGCAGAACGTGGGCGTCAGCCCCAAGGGGACAACACATTCACTTCAATGACGATGATGATGACGACGACGATTAGACGTGGCCAGGGTTTTGGCTGGCTATGAGAAGAGAAGAAATGACTGACTGCATCCTTGGACACAGAGGTTAGATGGGGTATTTATGATAGCAGCTGGCCTACTTGATGGTGCGGCTTGGTTGAGATTTTAGTTCTCCCTGGGTGCTCCTGAAGGCCTAACACAGGACGCAAGAGTGCTGGAAAATGTTATGCACTTGAATGACTCCCATTATTAGTTGTTTTTTCTTTTTTGCGTATTTGGTCGATATTTGGCAAGGACCAATCTATGTTCAAAACACTCAGTAGCTGTTTTGTTTATTGTTCAGTTTGTACACTTGTGGTTTGGATAAATCACACTCACTTAATGGACTGCACAATAAAAAAAAGATGTACCAGAAAACGCCTTTCTGAGCTTCATCTACATTACTAGGCTAACATTTAGGAATTTAAAAACAGAGAGAACCATTACTGTGAAATATTGCTTACTTTTTGATGGGAGACCATTATCAGCTCGCTGATGGGAGAACACTATTTGGTCTGAGCTTTGGATCATTAAAATCACCTGGGTAATATTTGGATGGAATGAGCACCTGCATAGCTATTAAAACTTCAGCAGCACACAGTTGCACACCCCTGATTTAACAGCCGATACCTCATAAATATCTGAGAAAGTGCTGGTGGCCAGAGGGTTTATGCACATTTCTGATTAACCTTCACCGAATGTCCAGAGAGCACATGGTTAATTTATTGTTCCAAATGTTACTGGAGGAATACAAGTCATTATCGTTCTATCTAGCAGGGATCCTCAGGGAAGAGAGATGTCATATTGATGATTAAGAATACATGACAGGCCCCAAGCAATTAAGCTTTTATTAATAGTGACTGATTAAAATATATAAGGTTGACTAAATAAGTTTCTGCAATATAAATCTGTATTTTGAAAAACATACATGTTACAATTCAGGCTGTTTTACATATTTACATGTACACAAATGATTTACAATAGTTACAAGTACAGAATGTGATTGAAATAAAGATCAATTCATGCTTAGCTAATGACATAGCTAATTTTCCCTGAGTGCAAATGCAAAGCTTTGTCTGCTATCTTCAGAGTCGAGATACTCATGTCCTTCCTGTAGGATGCTTTGCCCACTACTGTCATACACAGAGCAGTGGGCTTGATATATGGTGTTATCACCAGACTCTGACCAAGCCATTCATTTCCTTTAGCTGGACATGGCAACACTAAAAAGATGACTCACAGTGGACAATCAAATTAAAAGCAGGGCCAGGCAGGGCTGCTCGTCTCTTACCATCAGCACACAAATTAATTTCATCTTGCCTTTGTAACATCACAGATATAAATCCTAAGGGGGGTATTTATATATACACCTCTAGCTGGCATCAAGTGTGTGTGTGTGTGATATTTCCGGCTGTCCAAATCATCGAGTTGCTGGAGAGAGTAATGGTAATTATGTCACAAATGTGGAGTCTGAATTATGAGGGCGACATTAACTGGTGACAAACGGCAAGGTAGAAAACAGATACTCGGCCCATCTGCTTAACCATACGGATGACATATGAGGTTATATACTTCCTAAATGACTGTAATTCTTGATATTATCCAATTAATTATGACTTATTCTATTTACACAAAGTGCCTCAGGTTTCAGACAAGTATTCATTTCTTTGCATTTCAACATACACTATAATATATTGTTGTAAATATTGCTGTAATAGTTTCACCTGCCATCAGATGCTACTGAAACATTCTACACTAACCCACACTGTAAAGAAGTTGCTAATGTCACCTTCTTGCCTTAATATCACCTTCTCAATCAACATCTTCATAGTTACATTGTTACTGGCAAAGCTCCTAATCACATGGCCTGAGCCTCATTAACAGAGCAACAGGCTGCTGTCAGTTTCACACTATTTGGTCTACCTTACCTCCTATAGCGGTACTGTAGTCATAGCACATCAATTATGCTCAAAAAATATGCTTGAAAAAACATGTACAAATTTGACACCAACAGTTTTGTAGCAGGATGTGGAAAGCAGTGACTTTGGCTGCGGGAGTGAAATTTTCAAACCGACTGGGGAAATGAATGAATTTGACAGATCCCACTGTCAAGCCATCCCACCCACACGAGGACTGATCAGTACTTAAGGAAACCTCTGTCCTTCCATTGGTTTTGTTCTGAACTCAGTCTTTGTTTTGAAACTCAGAGAGTATGCCGAGCAGAAGTCTGAATTATGGCTTCATTTTATCCCACTTGTAAAGGGTGCAGCAGCCACGCAGTTCCCATACTGCTCCACTTGGTCCCTGAAGGAATGTCAGTGATGCTGTTACTGACCTCATTTGTCTGGGTTCACTGCTTAAAAAGGCAGGTCACTTGTGTGTCAAAGGGTCACCAACAGCTGAGAAAAGCCCTCCGTGGTTTAAAGAGCTGGCTCGTTCTGCTCACACATTAGTCTCCAGCCCCTGCAGGCGGTCCATCCTCTGCACGTTACGCTCGATGGTGGCCTGACATGTGATTGGTTCGGCACACTCTGCGAGGAACCACCCTCTTTCTCCATCACGCAGTCGCTCACCTTCACACCAGCCTAGGAGGAAAAATTGTATTGATATGAAAACTGAAGCATGTGTTGTGTTTCCTGGTGCTATTACTGTCTCTCTGCTTTTTGATGCTCAACCCTGTTTGTTCTTTAACATGAAAACCAGTTGCTATGGTCACCAAAAAGGAAATGACCTTTGGCCTCTTTGGCCAACTCATCAAACAAGTATGTCCATTATGTTGAAAAGAGAGAAAATAAAAGGGTGTGGTTGAAACAGGAAAGTGGAAAATTAGAGGGATACTAAAGAGGGTGAGTGGAGCTATACAGGGAGCAAGATAACATGGCTGTGTGATAAAGGCAAGGGAGGCATTGAGAGCTAACACACCATCTTCTACAGTCTGCGAGACCAGCACCACATCAGCCACCTGCAGGGACAATTCATCTGGTTGCTTGGCTGTGTAAGTTCTGATCACCTCCATCTGCATGGCATCTGGAAGAGCACATAAAATATACATGTAAGTGGACGCTGAGATTTTGTTGAGTCCATAAATAACATTTGTTACACTGTTACCTTTTGAATATACTGAATCTGAATTAACGTGTATGAAAAAAAAAAAAGGTTCACCTAGTGACCACAAGGTGGTGGAATAGCCTAAAAGGAGAAGTCTTGGATCTCAGTATATATGTGAAAGTACGTTTGTCTATAACTCACTGATTCTGTCCTGACTCTTCTTGTTGTTGACACTCTGGCCCAGAGCACTGATCCATCGAGCACGCTCATTTCTAAAAGAACACATAAAAACATGAACACAGCATTAAACCTCCTCTGAAACTGGTGACCTTGGGAGGTCACTGACCTCAGCATTGCATTTTTCCAGTTTTTGCCCCATTTCTCCATGGTAATCATTTATGTCTTTGCCAAAATTGCATAAAGATGCATATTTGATGCTGTGGCCGTGTAACGTAATTTTGTTTGGAATTTCACTTAAACGTCATAGTATAGCGAGTCATAGTATAGTGAGGCATAAAAATGCATTTTGCAGCTGGTCTGTTTCAGACCCAGGGACTGTTGAGGAGAAGAGTATCTGATTAAGGTGACACTGGTTGAACGAGGTGAGTATGAATGAACTAACCTGTTGTGTGGTGTTTTTCTTAAATATTTTGCTGTAGGGGTTTGTATAAAGTTTTGATTATAGTTTTAATGTGATGCATGCACTCATCACAAGGACAGAGGGGAATTATGTGTCTGGATTACCATTTGAGTGTGTATTACTGAGTGACCTCTTTACCATCCATAATCAGTGATGAAGACCTCGTCACTGGCATAAAAAGTCATAGTATAGTTAGGCAAAAAAAAAAAGCCATAGTAAGTATAAAGATGTCATAGTATAGTAAGGCATTAACAGGTCATTGTATAGTAAGGCATAAAAAAAGTAATGGTATTGAAAGTTATAAAAGCGTCACAGTACAGTAAAGCCAAAAAAATGAGAGTATAATAAGTAAAAAAAAAAAAAAAATGCCACAGTCAAGTAAGGCACAAAAATATCTTAGTATATAATAAGGATTAAAAAGTCATAGTATAGTAAGTCAAAAACACCATAGCATAGTAAGGCAGAAAAAGTCATAGCATATTGAGTCAAAAATGTAAAAAAAAATTGTGGGTCAACCGTCTCAGAAAATTAAGATGGCTTGAGTCACCATAGAAGATTGAAGTGCCTTGCTTTTATTTACAAAAATAGTGAGGAAAAAAAACTTGGACGTCCACAGCAAAACAAAACAAGTACAACTTACAAAAGTCCCCTCTCCTGTTCACTGCCACCCTCAGAGTCTTGGACTACTACTCGAGAGCCTTGTTGGCCAGAGGCTTATAACTGCTAAGGCCCTCCCACTGGACAAACCAAAATCTGATTACTTCAACTATCATCCGTTTCTCACAATATGCAATTCAAATGCCATTTTTCAGGTTAAACCCATATAACGTATCAACAGAAACACAACTTCCCAAGTCAATAACTGAAATAAATCCGAAAACCCCACAACAGTTTCATTAATTATGCAACACAATCCATAACCCAGGAAAACATGGTTTCGTCTGCCATCAGCACACCTGTGCAGGTATCTGCTGCTTCTATTAACGGCAGCATTTTGCAGCTGGTCTGTTTCAGACCCAGGGACTGTTAAGGAGAAGAGCATCTGATCAAGGTGACACTGGTTGAATGAGGTGAGTATGAATAAACTGACCTGAATTGACTAACCTGTTGTGTGGTGTGTTTCTTTGGTTAAATATTTGGCTGCAGGTGTTCGGGTAGTTTTAATGTGGTGCGTGTAGTAAGGCTTAAAAAAGGTCATAGTATAGTAAGTTATAAAAAGTTATGAAATGGAAAGGGATAAAAAAGTAAGGGTATATTAAGACATAAAAAGACATAGTTAGGTAAAAAAAAAATGCAATAGTATAGTAAGGCATGAAGTGGTCATAGTGAGGTAAGCCAGATAAAAAGTCATAGTATAGAAAGGAATAAAAAAACGGCATAGTATACTAAGGCATGAAAAGTCACAGTATGGTAAGGCATAAAATTGTCATAATATGAAAATGCATAAAAAAGTCATAGTATAGTAAGACATAAAAAATCCTAGTATGGTAAGGCATAAAAAGTCATAGTATAGTAAGGCATAAAAAAGTCATAGTATAGTAAGGCATAGAAAGTCATGGTATAAGAAGGCATAAAAAATCCTAGTATGGTAAGGCATAAAAAGTCATAGTATAGTAAGGCATAAAAAAGTCATAGTATAGTAAGACATAAAAAATCCTAGTATGGTAAGGCATAAAAAGTCATAGTATAGTAAGGCATAAAAAAGTCAAAGTATAGTAAGGCGTAAAAAGTCATAGTATGGTAAGGCATAAAAAAGTCAAAGTATAGTAAGGCGTAAAAAGTCATAGCATAACAAGTCAAAAAAAGTCATAGTATAGTAAGACATAAAAAATCCTAGTATGGTAAGGCATAAAAAGTCATAGTATAGTAAGACATAAAAAATACTAGCATGGTAAGGCGTAAAAAGTCATAGTATGGTAAGGCATAAAAAAGTCAAAGTATAGTAAGGCGTAAAAAATCCTAGTATAGTAAGGCATAAAAAGTCACAGTATAATAAGTCATAGTATGGTAAGGCAAAAAAAGTCATAGTATAG